CCAGTGCAGTGGTCATTGGTAATGGTTCTGCTTCATGACTCCTTTAGTCCATGAAACACTTATTAGTTAGTCCTCATTTTTACCGTACGTATTCATTGGTTAGATGAATATATTTCTAATTTTCCAAGATCCTTGTCTCCTTTTCCACACATAGCTTTGGTCTTACAGATAATGTGAAATGGCAGCTGCTTACTTGTGCAATAAACACATTTCTTAAAGGAAACACTCTTTCCTCACTTGGCATCCTGTTAAGTATTTTCTGTAAAATAAAGGAAGCCTCTACAGAATGATGGTAACAAAAGGGACCTGAATTTGGGGTGTGGAGCAAATCAGTGACTGCCTCCCTGGTATGTTTTCAGGGATGTCACCAGGATTCCCTCAATAAACCCTCAACCCTCTGCAGTTGAGTTCTTCACTCTCCGGAGACTAAGTCAGTAGTGGGGATTCTTTATGAGCAGAGGCAAAGAGCAATATGGCCCTGCTGTTTTCCCACCTTCTCTAGCAAATCCCACAGGTCCCTGCTTTGCGGTCCTCCCACCCTGGCCTGCGCCTTCCGGTTCCCACACAGTGACAAACTCTAGCTTCTGCTTTTCACTACCAACACCACACAACACCCCACACCCCTTCCGTTAATTAAAAGCAAATACCTCTTTGCAATGCAGATAGCTTCTCTGTCAGTCACAGGGCACAGTGGCCTCACTGAGATGCTCGATTTTTAATTGAATGCCCCACTCCTGAGGCCTCGGGGTCTCTCATTAATCAGTTACACACACAGGAAAGGTGACGGTTAATGAGGTGTGTGTCAGGCATGCTGACATGAGGCTGCCTGGCTCGATAAATGTGTGGCTCCACATTTTAATTATTTGACATTCAGCATTTTGCGGTCCGCATAATGTCAGTTCATGATAATTCTAATAAGTACAAAGATAGCTCATCTGATATCAAGACAAAGGCTCTCAGCAGTGGGAATGAGTAACCTCTTACAGTGAGCATGCAGTGGTCACATCCAGGAGAGGGAAAAGAGACTCAGAGTGCAGCCCATCACCAGGTGGAGGCTGCCGAACGAAGTTACAGGACCACAGGCTGTGGAGTTGGTCTGTGGGGGGGTCACAACCCAGGAAAGCTCTGTGCTTCTGCTTTCTTATCAGTAAAATGTGGATGAACAGTGACAGGGCCTGCCTCACAGGACTGTGAGAGTCGAGTGTGTTACTACATAGTGGACTGTACTACACTGTCTGGGACATTTAGGTGCTTACAAAATGCTGATGTTTTCACATTTATGGGCTCCTGTCTGTTACTTGACAGTGTCAAATGTCAACAAAACCTAACATTTGGGAGGAACAAATTCAGGTGTTCTTTTTGGCAAAAGGATGGGTTTCTTTTACTTTTCCTCTGAAGACCTTAGTGCTAAGAGCTTGGTGGCTTCAAAGTCCAGCTCATCTCTAAACCATCAGCTGGTCTCTGAAGTGTGTGCACAGAGCGGAGGACTTCCATGATCTCAGTGAAGAGCAGTAGTGGGAAAACTGAAATAACAGCCCAAACCTTGCTGCTGCCAAGTCAGAGGAGCTTGGTAAACAGGGTTTCCCTTGCAACCTCAAAGGAAAGACCACATCCCAGGACTAAGGCAGTTGCCTGGGACCAGGGCAAAATCAAAATGGACTGACATGAATGACATGGGAGACCAAGCCTCTCCAAATTCAAGTTGATCAGCCAGGAATTTAACTGCCTGCTAGAGTGAAGCTCAGCTTGCTTTGGAGCTTCTGCACAATGTCTAATATATATTAATCATATGAGGAGTGGAAAAATGTGAAATATACTCAAGGAAAAATCAGTCAAACAGTGAACTCCATGATGCTCCCTATTGAAATAATCAGATAAGGACCACAGGGCAACTTTAAGATCAAAGACTTAAAGGCAAAGATGGTCATATTGAACACATGGAGAACTGCAGCAGAGAAATGAAAACCAATCATAAGAAAATGCAAGTTCTAGAACTGGAAAGTAAAATATCAGAAATAAAAAATCCACAAGATGAGTTTACCAACAGATTGGAAATGGTAGAAGAAAGGGTAGGTCAACTTAAACATGGATTAATAGAAATTATTCAGTGTGGGGACTAGAGATAACAGATGCTGTCTGACTTGTGGAGTACTAATAAGTAAATAGTATACAACAGGAAAAAGAGCATAGGATACAAGATTTTTTTTTTTTTTTAAATAATGGTCCCAATTCCCTAAATTTGGTTTAAAACATATTTTTAGGCTCAATGCATATAGCAAGCCACAAGCAGAGCAAATACAACAAACAACAGGCAAGAATGCCTAGACACATCATAGTTGAACAGGTAAAAAGCAAAATAAACACTGAAGGCCAACATTCTAAAAGGAGAGAGACTACCGCACCCACGTAAGATAAATAGGATAAATAGCAGTGATCAATATTCTAAATAGGTATCAATCATCTGGGTGGGGAACCAAGATCTTTCAGGAAAGATCCCCAACCCACCCCTTACCGCTGAAAATCCTTGCTCATTCCTTGTACACTTGCTACATGACTTGTTTTCCCATTGGATCCCCATTTAATCAATATTACCTAAGCAACTATACTTGCAATCTTACTAGTTGACTACAGCTTTGTTCCATCTTGAATCCACCTCACCTCATGGCTTTGTCTCATAAAACACCTTTGAAAAGTTGGGTGAGTGGGCAACCCATTTCCCAATCCCTCTTCCGTCTCTCTTAGACAGAAGCTATCTTTCTCTCAATAAATTTTTCCTACTCTTAAAAAAAAAAGCAAAATAAAGAGAAAACCTTAGAAGCATTCAGGGAATAATGACACATTACAGGTAGGAGATAATGTCTGGGAACATTTCATCAGAAATAATGGAAGTCAGAAGACAATGGAATGATACTGAGGATATAATATGCCACCTCTGAATTCCTTACTATCAAAAATAACCTTAAAAAGTAAAGGGAATGTAAAGATAATTTAAGATAAATGAATTGAAGCTGAGGAAATTTGCTATCATCAAATGTGCACTAGAAGAAATGCTTGTTTGTTTGTTTTGTTTTTGATACCGGGGATCGAACTTGGGTCCTTGTGCTTGCACAGCAGGCGGCAAAACCACTGAGCTAAATCCCTGGCCCCAAGTTTTTTTTTTTTTTTTTTTTTTTTTTTTTGGTACCGAGGATTGAACTCAGGTCCTTGCACTTGTGGGGCAGGCAGAAGAACCACTGAGCTAAATCCTAGAAGAAATGCTAAAGGAAGTCCTTCAGTTGAAAGGGAAAGGACATTAGGTGGAGAGGTGGATTGGCTGAGAGGGATGGAGAGTTCTAAAATACTAAACCATGGATGCTCATGAAAGAGAACATTCTACTGTGGTATTTGTAACACTTCTAGATAGAAAATATGTGATAATGAAAACTTAAAGGACAGGAATAAGAAATGCATTATATTGTTGCCAGCTTCTCACACTTTATGTAAAATGGTACAACACTGATGCTACAGAACCATCAAGTTAAGAATGACTCTCAAAATTGATAGGACAACCACTGAAAAATAAAGCACGAAGTATTGCTAAAAAGACAAAGGATATATTTACATGAAATACTTCAAATAGCTGAATTAAAGGAAGGCAGGAAAAGCGAAATAGAATAAAGAAGGTAATAGATTATAAATAGCAAAATGATGGCATAATTATATGAATGATTGCATTTAATATAAACAGAGCAAACACTCCAATTAAATGGCATATGTTATCAGACTGAATAAGAAAAAACCCAACTACATGCTCTCTATAAGAAAGGTACTTTATAAAGACACAGATAGATTTAAAATAAGAGTATAAAAATATATGATAGTAAGCCTAAAGAAAGCTAATGTGGGTACATTAACTTCAGACCAGGTAAATTTCAAGATGAGGATTATTATCCAGAGACAAAAATGGACATTTTATTACGGAAAAATGATCAGGAAGGCAGCATCCTAGATGTGGATGCATCTCATAAAGGTGCCTCAACACATAAGGCAAAATTGACAGATAGAAAAACACACATCCACACAGCTGAGGTTTTGGCACTGTCAGTAATTGACAGAGCAATTACAAAAGGAAATCGTCAGTAAGAAAACAAAAACAAAAACAAGCCACAGAATGAGAGAATGCACTTGCAATATGTCTGACAAAGATTTGCATCCAGAGGATACAAAGAGCTCACACAAATCACACCACCTGTGATCCCATCAAAAGTAGGCAAATGACTTAGAAGTTATGCAAGGGCCCAAAGCACATGAAAATGGTGGTTATGAATGAAAATGGTATGCTTGCGAGTTCCCCCTGGGTTTGAATCCTTCATGATAATCAAGGGACGAAAAGAGAGTGGGAATGTACCAGGTGCTGCAGCGAGAGGACCATGTGCTAAGGGCAGAAACCCCGTTGTGGTCACTTGTTTTGATACTCTGCATTAGCTTGCAGGAGAAGCATCCATTCTTATCAGTGTATCACACCCATAAACTACTGTTCCATTTATCACCACACTCTTCCCATGAGACCTCAGGAAGGAGACCCTGTGTGAACTTCCGGTGCTTAATCTTGTGCTCTGCTTAGCCTCCTGCAGTCCACCACCATCCCCAAAGGTATGTAGCTCTGCAATTTGTGCCAATGAGAAATATAAAAAACTGCAAATATCTGATGCCAGCTATTACAACGAGGTGAGCTGAAGAAAGAAACTGTGGATTTAGTTTTCAATAAGACATACCCTTGCTACAAAGATTCCTGCGGCCAGAGTGGGCAGGTCTGGATGGCATGGAAGGATGTTTATGCAAATAAAAAGAAGCTGTTTCTGACTGCAGAATGCTCAGCCAGATGGGATGAGGAATTCATTTACAGGAGGACCCAATGGGGAAGTTTAAGTGCTTCCTGGCCTTACAAAAATATTTGCAGGAACTGAAAATGTAATGTGAAAGCCGGAGGAGAATGGAAAACCAGGAAACACAGTGAGTACCTTGAAGACAACATGCAGCATCATCTGGAGCCCACTCTTGCCAGGGTACTTCCCGGCGAGGTTGGCAGCGGACAGGTTGAAGAGGTTGGCTCCTGTTTCGGTGCAGATGGCATGGACCAGCATTTTCTTCCCCACGCCGGATGGCCCGGCCAGCAGCAGTGATTTCACCAAGGGAGCTTTCTCGTGCACTGCTGCAGAGCCTGAAAGGCAGAGGTAGAGGCTGTAAGATCCTGCACATCCCACCCTGGGACACCTCAGGCCATGAGTGCATCATGGGACCCCAGTGTTGCCAATGATGAAGGCATGGAGGGCACGTCCAGCCATGGCACATATAGCACCCCCATGGGCTCCGATACTCTGATTTGTGAATCAGGGCTCATGGTGGAGCTCTAAGGTATCTGGGATCCCTCAATACATTCTCCTCTCCCACTCCTTCTTTGCACTTCCTTCGAACTTGTAATTTTAAAGAGCATTCCTGCAATAACTACCCACCTCTAGCTTTTTCTTTTTTTGACAGCAACATTAAATCCTCTGAAATTTTCAGAAAGGAATGGAGACACACCAATGATAAGGGGCTAGGCAGTGTTTATTTCCAGAACCCTCTTTCCTAGCATGTAGGGATGCTCATGAGATAAGGGGAAGACCACAATCCAGGTGGAGGATGGCCTGGCCTTTGCTCCCCTGGCCTGGCTTCCTGACTGTCACAGCAGAGCTGGTCTGACTCTTGCTGATAAGGTCAGCTGAACTGGAGTCATCCGGAGGTCCCGCCTCTCGATCTCAAGTGCATGGTTCTCAACTCATGTCTTTAGTCTCCGTAGCAGAGAACACAGGCAGAACTCTTTTGGGCACTAGGTAATCATTAGCTAGGCTAAATTTGGTCCTGGCCAGCGTCACGAAGGAAACATCTACCATCATGTCAATTTGCTTCTGATTGACTTCTGGGCTTTCTGTGATTAGCTGTTAAAAATGCCAATATAATTGTTATCATTCTTTTCCTTTCTTTCCTGTATAACTGAAAAGATATAGGAAATTTACAGTGGTGCCTTGGTTCACGAACTTCCTTTGTTCCACAATGCTGGGGCAGATGGCTGTGTTCATGTTTGTGTGGGGAAGGTGGCCACAGTCGTGCTCGGCATCCGATTCCCAGAAGCAAAATTCTGAGGAATGCTTCTGTTTGCGAACCAAATTGTTTGCTAACAGAGGTGCTTGTAAACTGAGGCATTATGGTACTTGATAGTTGGAAATTGAATTTTTACAGTTACAAATCGTGCTCCATATAAACTTCGAAAACAGTTTTGAACCAGTTCTTTTTAGAGTGCGATCCAGTAAGCGTGCTTTATTTGTGGTCAGTGAGGACCACTGTGACAGCCTACAGGGAGGGAGGAGACACAAGGAGCTAGGAGAGTGACACCACTCATCTGTCACCCACTGGACAAAGTCGCCCCATCTCACCCTTTCCCTTGTACTGTGGTGTCCCAGAGTCTGGCCACACTCACGCAGGATTTGTTTCGTGTTTGGTGTGTGGTTTGACTAGTGAACGTGCCCAGGGCTTCCGTGAGGAGCCCGGTGTCATCAGGGCTGACCCGGGAGGCCAGTTACTGCCTGTCCTCACCCTCCGTCACGTCCCTTGCCCCTGGCCAGCTGGGCCAGGCAGGGGTCCCTGCTGCCGGCAGTGACCCTGTTCGGCAGGCTCAAACCCTGCAGGTCTCCGGTGGGACGCGGTTGAGCGAATGGTCTTTGGGGTGGGCAGGCGGGGCTCGGCGGAGTCACCACACCTGGAGGCCGGGGTGGCACAGTGCATGAGGCTGCAGAGAAGAGTATCCATGTCCCAGCCTGGTGGGCCCTGAGGCACCCAAGGGCTCCTGGCTCTGCAGCCTGGGCCCTGCCCTCCCGCCAATCCCTGGTATGGAAGGCTGCTTGTGTATGGCCCTGACTGAGGGCTGTGTGTGCATGACAGTGTGAGAGAGAGAGTGTGTGTGTGTGTGTGTGTGTGTGCCTGCACAAACATGAAAAAGATCTGATATTTGCTGCCAAAAGTTTACAGCCAGAGGGGAGCCGAGACCCTGCTACAGGAGGCAAATGGTGCTCAGCTCAGTGCGCCACACGACCTCACAGGAGGACTGGAGTCCAGCTGGGGCTGCCCGCGCTGGCCTCACTGGGAGTGAGGGAGGTGTGTGGCAGGGACACAGCCACGCTGGCCTGCAGCGGGCAGTCAGCTGGTCCTGGAGCAGCAGTGGTGGCTGAGGGAGGCAGAAGGCACAGAGGGCGCTGGTGCTGGCTCTCAGGGCTCCTGGACTTCAGCTGAGGTTGCAACTTTGCCCGGGTGCTGGCTGTGATCAGTCAGGGCTGGGAGAGACGAAGCGGGAGACCCAGAAGAAGGCATGGCAGCCGGGAGGGATGCCACCTCCTAGAGCAGAGGGTCACCACGGTCGCTCAGAGGTGAAGAGGGTGGTCCAGGTGCTGCACCCGGCACCCAGCTGACCTGGGGAAGCCCTGGGTGGGCGGGAAGGTCCCGGAGTCGTGGGGCACAGGTATGCAGCACTTGCAGCTCTTCCTGAGGTTCTCTTGGAGAGATGGGAATGGCTCTTGGCATCCGTCTTCTCCAGCTTTCAGAGGACAGCAGAGTAGGAGGAGCCACGTTCTGGGGCTGAGCCCAGGTTTGCCCCTTCCCGGTCCTCACTGTCTCGGAGATACTTACCAATCCATAAGAGCTGGACAGCATCCACCTGCCCAGCTCTGGTGAGGAATGGGACCATGGGTGTGAGTCTCTGAGGAGGAGCCTGAAGATTTGTTGCCAAGAGTTCAAAGCCAGGACGCCATCCCTCTCTGAAGCTGGCCCTTCTGCCTGCCTTCCTGATGCCGGCCCAGATGGACTCAGCCCGGGCCTTCTCTGCCTGCCACAGAGCACTGGGACCTCCAGCCTGGCCCTGGGAGCCTGAGGTCCCGGGTGGGGCTGTTTCCCGGCCAGGTGTGGAAAATGACCATGTGGGCCTCTGCGAATGCTCAGGTTTGTCAGATCCCCTGAAGAAAGCCACACTCCTTTCTGCGCTGGACACCACTCTAGCAGGGAGGGCAGGCGACAGCGCAGGGACCGTGCCCAGGGCTGCCATCATCCTCCAGGTCACTCTCTCGTGGCTAGGCACCTGCAGGCTCACCTGTGTGCAAGGTGCCCCTCCGGCTTCTTTCTGCATTGGGGACACAGAGCCTTGGCTGGAGAGCGGGCACCCGCAGCCTTGGGAGCCAGCAGGTTCGGTGACAGAGGCAGCGCCCCAGAGGCTCCCAGGAGGCTCTCAGGCCAGGTGGAAAGCCACACAGCACCGCGGAAATGCGGCCGAGTGTGGCCAGAGCCACAGAAGCCAGAGCCACAGAAGCCATCCCCCGAGAGAGGCTGCGGCCCCTCCTTAGCTTCATCACAGTGACTCCCCCAGTATTAGGTATTTGTTTCGCCGATACCAAGTTGTTTTGTCCCCAACTGTGACATGCTTATTTGTATTCTGCAGCGTGCTATCTGTCTATCGGTCCCTCCCGAGCCCCACCTACCGTTTCTGACACGAGGTTGGAAGGGGACTCCAGCATTTCCTGCCAACAGCTTTCGGTTGAGGTGGAAGTGGAACAGTGCTGCGAGGGCTGATCGTGCCCCATCGCATTGGGAAGCACGCAGAGTGCGGCGGCCTTGGCTCACCTTCTCCCTCCCTCTCCCTCCCTCCCCCCTCCCCCCCCTCTGTCTCTCTCTCTCTCTGTCTCTCTCTCCCTCCCCCCCCCTCTGTCTCTCTCTCTCTCTTTCATTTTTTTGCTTTCAGCACCAGGGATTGAGCCCAGGGCCTTTGCACTGAACTACATTCCCATCCCTTCCCTATTTTTTATTTTAAGACAGGGCCTTGTTAAATTCTTAATTTTCCCAGGCTGGGCTCAAACTTCTGATCCTCCTGCCTCAGCCTCCCAAGTGCTGGGACTGCAGGTGTGCTCCACCACGCCTGGCTCAAGTGGCCATTTCTTTTCACGGTGACCATGGAGCACTGTGACAGCGGTGGAGTGCTGTCCCTGCCTCAGGTGGTTCTGGTCACACAGGGACTAAAGACACAGAGCGAAGAGCAGCCAGCACCCCGGGGGCAGAGCCAGCTTTCCCACATCGCTGGGCACACGGCTGGGCTCGGTCTGAACCATGGGAGCCTTAGTCAACAGTGACAGTGGACTGCAGGAAGACAGCAGAGCCTCCTAGTGAGCACCGGGACCTGGGACCTGGGACCTGGGACCCAGCCGCAGAGGCCACATTTAGAGGCGTGTGGTTCCATGTGGTGACTGACTTTAACTGGCCTGGGCCCGAAGACGTCGCAGACGCTGCCCTACCGTCCCCTTCTGCGCTGGGCACACACGACCCAGGGGAAGATAGGCTGGCTCAGAATTCTCAGTAGGAAAAGTGAAGCTGATGACCAACGGGAGCCCCCTGTGAAAGGCAGCAGGCAGCACCAGCCCTGCGTGGGCTCAGGGCCATAGGCTCACCTAGTGGCAGGATCCCGTACAGGGTGATGAGCTGCCGCATGTCCAGGAGCGAGGGCATGGGTTCTATGGACAGGTGGCGCAGCGTGGTCCCCAGGTAGCTGTATTCACCTGGGGAGGAAGGAGACCCAGGGTCAGTGGACGGGAAACCACACCACAGAGTGGAGACAGCATTCCTGAGCACCTGGGGCTGGGTATGAAGAGCCACTGTGAAGAACGCATCTTTTCTCAGGAAAAGGTGTGAAGAAAACTCAGGCGAGAAAGTGTGGCTGTACTAGCTATAGAGCCTGGGAATTATGTTGACTCTTATGCTAGCCTAATTGTTTTGCTTTGTTTTTCTGGTACGGGGAATTGAACTCCGGACCTTGTGCTTGCCAGGCAGGTGAAGAACCTCGAGCCACATCCCCAGCCCTAGCTGAATTTTTTTTTTTAGAGATAACATTTGCATATTGGGTTACATAAAATGGGGGACATATAAATAAGGTTAAAATATTGCAGGGATTTGCTTTACTTATATTCTAAGAGATTATATATGTGTTTTTACACATTTTAAAAGTAAGTTATTTAAGATCCATGTGGAATTTGCATTCGAGCAGTGAAAATCTGAATTGAAAATGTAGTCGCTGAAAGGAAAGGTATGAGTCTAATTTGGGATAAATAGAAACATCTCCTTTTGAGGGGAGTGTTAATTTACATTTTTATCATTTTTAAAGGGTTACTGGAGGAATAATACAGAAATAAATCTCTACAGGTTTAATTAGAAGACATCAAAGGGCTTAATTGTAACCGGCCATAAATCTGAAGCGTTATTTCCTAACTAATTTAGATAAGGTCACCAAGAAAATTAGTTTGGCTGTCTCCATTCATCAGGAGGACGGACCTTTATGTGCTCGCGTGATTCTCTGGGTTTCTAACTGAATCTGGAGTAAAAACATTCAGTGAAGGTGTCTCAATTGTGGTTTCCTGATACTCTCTTCCTGCAGCAAGTGCTGACCTGGCAGAGCTCTGGATATGACGTACACACGACAGATAAAGCACACATGTGCTTGTGTATATGAAATACTGAGAGTATCAACAGCTTGTAAGCATCTTCAAATGCTAAGAAAATTAGTTGAAATCCAGATAGTGGCCCCTGTTTTGCTGTGGAGGGCTGTCTTCTAAAGTCTCTGCAGGAAGGAAAAAATTAAGTCCTTGGCAAGGACAATGGTCTTGGTTGGGGGATGAATGATAATGAAAGCTTCCATTACGGCCTCGGTACCTTGCTTTTTAATGTGCAGGTAATAAACAGGAGAGTAGTTAATTTAGTCTCCACTAGGGTAGAAAGAGATCCTATAGCAACCATTAAATCGAGCGCTTATTGCCAGTAAACATGACATTAGAAGGGATACGAAAGTGACCTCAATTTTCCTGCTTAGATAAACCCATATTAATATCCATACACACCATATTTTCTAAGACCTAACATATTTTATTCAGACAAATTATATTAAGTTGAATTAGCAGTCTTGGTTCTGATAGGGGGAGATCCAAGTAGCCTGGGGTGTCTGCCAGGTACAAGGCCCACTCTAAAAGGAAGTTATTATGTTCTGCATGTGCCCAGAATAGGAGCCAGAATCCCTTTCCACCTACCCACTGGGTGCTCAAGAAGTTCCACATCTGCTGTGTGGACATCAGAGCTCCCATAGGAGGAAAGATGGAAAATACTAGAAAAGGTATTTGAGATAGAGAACAGGGAAAAGGCCCAGGAAACATAGGACAGTGGAAAGCAAAGAAGAGAGGGACATGACAGGGGTTGAATTGTTCCCTTATGAGTCCATACCCAGTATCTCGGCCTGTGATCATTCGTGGAAGTAGGGTCATCTGCGGATGTGTTTAGTTAGGATGAGATCAGTAGAATAGGTTCTAAATCCAATAGAACTGGTGTCTTTATAAAAAGGGAAATCTGGACACAGAAAAAGACATGAAGGGGGAGAATGCTCTGCAGAGATGAGGCCTAGGCCAAAGACCGCCAGCTGCCACCAGGAGCAGGAGGGACCTGGAACAGGTCCCCCCACTGCCCCGGAAGGAATCCACCCTGCCCATCCCCAGAGCTCGGACTCCAGAACTGTGAGCCAGTAAATTTCCACTGCCAAAACCACCTCACTGCTTGTATTTACTGTGGTTACCACCCTGATACAGAAAGAGCAAAATAACTGAAGATAAACAGGAAATTTGAGCACAGTTAAAAGAGTAATGAGAAATATCTGCAAAATACAACTGCAGTCAGCCTTGTATTTCTTTCTATCCCATCCAGCACAGCATTAGGAAAGGAATGAAGAGTGGAGGCATCTATTTAAAAATGACAGCCGCTTCGGTAAATTCTCCAAAGACAAGGAGTGAAGAACAAGGTGCGGGCCTCTGGAAAGCAGCCTGCTGTTTGGCCGCCATGTTTGGCCAGGGACCCACCCAGCTCCCCTGACGCAGCAGGGACTGCACGAGGTGACCTGCTGTGGAGGAGTCAGGGCCACAAGCTGGACAAAGTCCAGGAAGACAGGCTCGTGCACAGTTTTCCGGTGACATGGAAGGGCCATGGTCACGCAGGTAAGTGTCTTGGTGACTCAGCACAGAGCCCACTCCAGGTGACACTTCTGCAGCAGCAGCTCGGCCAAGATGGTGCCGTGAGGTGTCAGTTCCAATGCTTCTGACATTTTCCACGTGCATATATGGAAATCACAGCTTCTGGGATTGGACTGTGACTTGCTGAGTCTTCTACTCTTGGGCAGGTGACGAACACAGGCGAAGGTAAAGAACAGTAACTGGACTTGGGTCCATTTTCAACCAAGGGAAGGAGGCATGACTGGGATTCAAGTGGTGCTGAAGGGAGGGCAGGACTGCAAATCATAAGACTCTAAACCTATTTCCTGTCCCAGCAGTGCCCAGTGTGGCTGGGTCTGGAGAGTGTTCCCTAGTCTGCTGGGAATGTGCAGGCCACAGGCAAGAGCTGTGTGTCTGAGGTCCCTCCTCCTCCCTCTGGAGGACCACCCACACTTATGTGATCCCATCTCCCCCATTGTGGGAAGTCTGCATGGCCTGCTGGCAAAGATGACTGCATGCTGAGGCCCTCAGTCTGTTCCAAAATCAGAAATGGGTGGGAGGAGCCAGCTATGGACAACTGAAGCAAAGCCCTCTGCAGCTGGCCAGCTCCTCCTCATCTAACCTGAGGGTAGAGGAGTGATGGATAGGATTGTAAAGTAGCCTTCTTCCTGGCCAGTCCTACCAAGAGGGCTGAGCCAAGATTGAGGAAATTGAGGTCACAAGTCCCCACACCCCCGCCAAAGAAAGGGTTGAATGGGGCTTTCTTACAATCTGCCAGATGAGTAGTCAAACTAGCAGCTGGGCTCGGCACTTGAACAGGTTAATCTCAGCGCCTTTGGCCAGACTATAGGATGTGCTGTGTCCCATCAAGAGGCACGGGACACCACCTTTCTTGCTTTTTGTGACTTGAGCAGCCACTGGGACCACTGCCTGTGTTCAACACAGGTACCAAGATGGCCATGTCTTACTTCTGTTTGTTTTTTTTTTTCTTTTGGTACCGGGGATTGAACTCGGGACCTTGCGCTTGTGAGGCAGGCGCTGGAACCACTGAGCTAAATTCCCGGCCCCTACTTCTGTTCTTTTGTTTTCACTCACCAATTGAGATGATTCGCAACAGAAAACATCCCTCACTTACTACTTGGTTACCTGGTATATCATTTATACATGAAATGCAGAACAAATCGTTCATTCTTTTTATTTACCAGTTTTCAAGAGAGCACACTGGTTTCTGGTGAACCTCAGAAGCTGATTCATTAGTTTCTTTAATGCCATTATGAACTTGTGAATAACATCATATTTCATGGATTTCAAGCCACTGTATTTCTTACCCTTACTGCAGCTCACAAAATCCCATTTTTGGGCAGAGGGAGTTTCTCCAACTTGGCTCCTGAGGGTTTTTGCTATGAATTTAGTTCTTTCTGACAGTTCTTTGCCATCTAATATGAGATGATGCTTCAGGCTCTTCTCTGTGTCTTGTGTCCCTGTCTGAAACAAGCCATTTCTCCAAGAAATGTTGGCTTCTTGGGTAAGAAATGCTGTTTTAAGACTATAATCTGAAAAAAAGTGTTCTCCTGGCTAATGAGGTGATCACTCATGCCAGGCACTGCCACTAGACAGCGCTGGTGCCTTATGTCCCTGGTAGGCATCAGAGTTGCCCACAAAGTTCCTAAGAAGTCAACGATCTAGGCCACCCCGTGTGTGTGTGTGTGTGTGTGTGAGAGAGAGACACACACACACACACAGACACAGAGACAGAGACAAGCTACAATATGAGTCAAAGCTGCTATTTCCAGTTTGAATTCAGGATTATAAGTTTTTACCTAACCCTTTCTTTCTATAGTGCATGTAGGCCCCCTTTCTTCCCTGCAGAGGATCTTAGTCTTCAAGGACACAGGGACAGTAGACTACCATGATTTCTCATGCGCTTTATCCCATGTGACATGACATGCACATGTGTACCCAATCACACAGGAACAAAACCACCAGCAGTTATGCTACCTGGAAGTGGGGAAGCTCTCTGTGGGAGCCGGGTCTACATCTCATGTCCTGTGGTTGCTCTCTAGCCGCTGTCTGAGCACATAGCCATCCCGCCTGGCCTTGCGCTCTCCCGACTGCCCTGGTCCCTCTCGGGTTTATTTGAGGCCATGCACTGATGCTCAGCAGCAGCCTTGTGCCGAGGCCTCGCTACTCAGTAGGTTGGGCGCATGGAAAATATTCAGAGACCTTGCACACTATAAGTTTGTGTTCTGTACTGCTGAAAATAAATTTGGCTGGGTGCAAAGATGCTTGGGTCCTACTTATTTTCCTTGAATACTCAACAGGTGCCACTCTCTTTAGCTCCAATATGAAGTGCGGCTGTTGAAAAATCTGGTGATAACCTGATTTTCCTTCCTCTATAAGTCTCATGATCTTTCTGTACAGATGCCCAAAGACACTTGTACTAGAACCTGTCTCGGTGTTGTAAACCTGCATCAACACTCTTGGGTACATACCTTGCTTTATGTGGATTTAATGTCTTTACAGAAACACTCATGCGGCTTGGCTCTCGTGTTTGTTCTGTTCCTTTGCCTTGATTTTCTTTTCTTTTTTTTTGTGGTACCAGGGATCGAACTCAGGACCTTGCACTTTGAAGGCAGGTGTGGTGCCACTGAGCTAAATCCCTGGCCCTGCCTTGGTTTTTTTCTTCAGGGTCTTGTATAATGTAATTGGCTCTTTGTCTTCCATACTTCACATATATTTCAAATCTTTTATTGTTTTATTTCTAGTTTTACTTTAAAATGACTTTTCATCTATTATTTCTTTTAAAAGTATAGTTTGTGGTCTTTAGTCATTATGATTTAGTTTTAAAAATATTTCCCTTTATTTGTAATATTTCTTAAGCTCTGTCATCTCACTTCTGAGTTTTTCTAATTCTAACTTGTGCTGTTCTTACAGGTCGTCTATAATTTTCTTAAAAATCTGCTTCATGAGGTTGACATTTTGAGGTGTGAAATTCTCATTATTTTTTTCTTATGCTGATTTTATGTGGGCTTTGGCCTTGGGCTCTTCCATTGCCTGAGCTCCTGAGAGTGAACATTCTATGCCTGCAGAAGGAGGTGCAACGTGGGTGGCCCTTTCTGGCTGCACAGAGCTGCCTCTTCTGCTGCTTCCATATATGTTAAAAACATGGCAGCTTGTTTTTCCAGATGTCCTGACTCTGTTCTCCTCCCCCAACTTCTTCGATGGCCTTTCCCTGTTTCATCTTTATGTTGTCTTGGACAATTTCGAGTCCGCTCTCAGAGTCTGCGCGCTGCAGGCTGCTGGGCCCCATGCTGCCTGTTGCTCTCGACGCTCCCCTGCTGTGGACCTGGGCGAATCCTCTCCTGATTGGGCTCCAGCTCTCCTGGGCCGTCATGCCCCTGTCCTGTGAATGTGTGTTGCTCATGAGAGGCTCTGGGCTGGAACTCTGGGGCTCAAGAGTGAACCGAGCCATTGAGTTTTGGCGCTCAGGGTGAGGTTTGGGTTTTGCTGTCTGGCTGTGCTATCCTCTGTGTGGCTGTCTGGGAAGATACACTGCCGCCTTTGGAGCCAAGGATCTTAACTGGAAGAAATGGTCAAAGTGTGCCAGCCTTTGGGGAAATTTGATTTCTTGGGGGTGGTTCTTGGGATTGAACTCAGGGCCTCAGCACTGAGGTATATTCCCAGTGTTTTATTTTTGATTTTAGGACAGGGTCTCAGTAAGTCACTGAGGTTTCCGGGCTGGGCTTGAACTTGCAATCCGCCTGCTTCAGCCTCCCAGAGTGCTGCGATTACAGGCCTGTACCACCATGCTCATTGAGGAATTTCACTAGTTTTGTTAGATTAGTTCATTTTCATTTAGAGTCATTGTAGGTGGCTGATCTCTCCCTTTTGACCTGGTTCTGATGCTGCTACCTGCAAAATGAGAGGTGACGGGAAAAGTGTGGGAGGGGTAAGACACTAATAAGGGGTCCAGAAACTAGTTCACATGGAGTTGTTGAGAGTCCATCACAGCACAGGCCCTGTACTAAGCACGAGACCCTTCTGTTTGGAGAATAAAACCACAAGCAACAGACAGCTCTGTTAAAAACGGTCATTTAAAGCCATTAACAGAATTAACAGAACAGAATCAAGAGACTACAAGAGAAAATTCCCCAGCGCATGAGTAAGAAACACAGAATACGGCTGGGGGGGCATAGTTTAGGGGCAGCATGCTGCCCACTATGCACAAGGGTTCCATCCCCAGCACTGCAGAAGTAGATAAGAAACACCTAAATATTCAGGAACCCCAGATACAGCCTGGCAGGACTCTACTAGGGGGAGCTGTAGAGGCTCCTCCAAGCCCCTGCGCTGGAAACGTGGGCCTCCTCGAAGGGATCACAGTAATTACCCCTGGCCGAAGGTGCTGGTCTCTCAGACTCAAGCAGGGCCAGCGGGAACACTGCCGTGAATCACCACAGGGACAACATAGAATGCATCAACTCAAAAGAGAATCCATATGTCTAGCTTGGTGCCAGCACAGCTTCTCAAAAGGTCCTGAGCTTCCTTACAGGAGAAGACGCTCTCTCTCCCACATGGAAGAGCTGGGGAGAGAAGCTGCATTTCCCCACTACCCTAGCGATCGCAGGTGTGGGCTCACGGTATCAGCGCGCACAAAAACGTTTGTGTGAAGGCGGCTGGGGCAGAGCCTCGGAGACCCCAGTGGCTCTTTGTGGGTGATTCACCGATTGTAAAGGGAAAGGCCAACCTTGCCAGGGGAGGAATCTGGGGACAACCCCAGGCCGCGTGGCCCACTTTCCACTGACATGACAAAGTTCTGTCACGGAGGGGAGCACTGAGAAGGGGACCTTCTCACAATGGCGCCTTCAAAACATCTACTCCGAATCAGATAGTGGGGAAACCATCAAGCAAACTCCGCGGGGCCAGTCTGTAAATCAGCTCGGATTCCTCCATGGTGGCAATGCGGTGAGGGGTGGGGAAAGGCCGGGAAATGGTTCTAGACGCAAAGGGTTAAGGGAGAAGAAAGAGACACAAGCACATGGTATGTCCTTGCTGGGAATCTTGACTGAGGAAGGCTGGCTGTCTTGAGGGACACTGGTGAAACTGAATATCAGCTGTGGATTAGGTGACCGTGTTTGTATTAATGTTAGATTTTCTGAGCGCGACCATCTTCTTGTAGGAGATATTTTCTTCATGAGATTGGGCAAAATATCTACATTAGGATGGTAGAGTTTGGAGACATTTTATGCTTTAAGTGTGCTTCCAGGTTGTCGTATTGTTTTCATTTTAAGTCAACAGAAATACATTTGTGAAGACAGTGATAACAACCATTCTCTCTGTCCTCCTGCTACTTCCGTCCCCACTGAAAGGTCCTCTTAGAAGGAATTGCTCCCTTAAGCGTTATGTATTGTGGAGTTGCGGCAAATAATTCTTCATTTCCTCCAGTTAGATTAGGCCGGAAAGAATGCACCATGAGTTGGCATGGGGGTGCACGCCTATAATCCCAGCTTTCTGGGAAGCTAAAACAGGAGGATCTCATGTTTGAGCCCAGCCTGGGCAACTTAGCAAGATCCTGTGTGAAAACTAAAAAACTATAAAGGGCTAGGGATGTAGCTCAGTGTGGGTGAAGGCCCTGCATTCAATGTCCAATAGCACAAGAAATAAAACAAAACAAAACAACAACAAGCCGAACGCATCAAGGAGATTGCTAGCAGGTAAAAAACCTGCTTCTCCCACATAAGAGGAGAGAACTGGACCATCACTGTGAAGAGAACCTATTAGTTCACAGCAGCATACTCGAGTGAACCAAGTTATTTCGAGCTCACCAACATTCACCAGCAGACACCACGGGGCCAGGCCGTGGTTTTGACCAAGACACAAATGAAACATATTTCCAGCTGTTGGGGCTCAGGACCCAGAGCGCCATGTGACACACACACACACACACACTGTCCTTGGTGTACCTTACCAATGTAATCGGACATGTTGACCTTCAGGGGCTGGATCAGCAGCCCTTCCTCCACCAGCTCCTTGTACAGAGATTCGATGGTCCTGGGGATGAAACAGAGCATCGAACTCCGTCACACACGAGATCTGCAACCGTCGCCTATGCAAAGACCACACCCATTTCAAAGTGTGTATGCAAATTAGCATGGTGCAGGCCTGCCAGTCCTCCAAAGCCTCATGTTCTCCTAGGAGGGCTTTGGGGAGGTGGCTGGATCACGGGGCTGAGATACTCAGAGAGGAGGCGGTCACTGGGGCCGTGGCCCTGAAGGGTCCGTCTCCCTCCCCGCTCCCCGCTTGCCTCTCTCTGCTTCCTGTCTACCACACTGTGAGCGGCCCCTCTCTGCCAAGCTGCCCTGCCTTCGAGCCAGTGGACTATAGACTGAAACTTCTACACACCGTGAGCCAAAATAAATCCCTCCTTTAATTTATGGGTGCTGGATATTTTGTCCCAGCAATAAGAAAAGTGACTAAGACACAAACAAATGGATTTTTGAAGTGTTTCTACAACTTGAGGAGAAATTAGGCTTTAAAAAAACATATTTCCACTGACCCATGTACATATTGGATGTTTCCTATTAATGAGAATTATATCTCTGGGTGTTTGAGAGTAGCTGTAACTCTATAACTCTTCACACTGGTACAAATATGAATTAGAAATTACCCAATAATGGTAATGCAGTGGGTCTACAATTGTATATTCAGTTAGCATGTGCTGGCCATAGTAGATCATTAATCCTTTGTGAAATTTATGTTTCCTTTTAATATAATGGTAGAAAGGTTTAAAAGAAATATCTACAAGGAACAAAAGCTTACATTTGAGATAATTCTTATGTGGAAGATAAAACGTCTAAAGCTGTGTGTGATGTTTTGGGAGGGCGATGACTTTTTCGCAGTGTTTACAGAAGTCAGAGCCACTTTTCCAGGAGGGGCTTGAGCATCTAGCCGGCATGCTGGTAATTTATACTGACTGGAAATAGTACGGAGTATCCCACTTAAGGATGAAATCCCCAGTGGGACAGACTGGAGTGTGGCCTGTGGGAATTTGGATGAAGAAAGCTCAAATATCATACAGTGTGGTCCTTGGAGATATTTTGTCTTTATTTTTAAGGCTTAATCGTAGTGCAACGTGGGACAACAGTACCTGATCACGAGCAAGGAAACACCACCTACAGTGTTTTAACTTGAATCATTATTTAATACAGAGAACATGGGCAGGAAGTAACATAAAATTGAAGACCATTCCCTAAAGTTATCTGAACAAAATATATTAGGAAGCCCCTACCACAAACCTCTACTTGGCTTTTTTTTCCAGTGAAATAAACTTTTGTTATGGAATAAAGCGTCTTCAACTCTAAAATTGCTTTCAACTAGGGTAGAAACTCTGGGTTAAGGGTTAGTTTGGTGAGAGAAACAGAAGTTGTCTAACAGTGCCACGGCTGAGCTAGCCCGAGTGGGGAGATACAGGGTCTTTAACATTGAAATGCAAAGTCTTCCAGGAATGAGGTGCCAGGGGTTTCTGGACACAAAAATGAGCCCAAAGCACGGCCCTATGTGGAGGCATAAGAGGGCTGCCCGCGTGCGTCATCTGTGATCGCTGCCATAGAAGGAAGCTCACACCAGAGCACAGTCATGCTCTGCCTTCGTTAACGCTGAGTCATGCCTGTGGTTTATGCTGTTCAGCAGCGTTTGATGCAGCAAAGCAATACTTTCAGTGCAAGAGAGTCCAAGTGAATCATTTAACTCTGGGGCCGGAGATGCGGTGTCAGCTTTGCTTTGCCCTCACTTCACTCTTTTTCGAGAGGCATGAGAGAACAAAGGAACAAAGTGGGCTTAAACACCTGCTCCAGGACACCTCACCGTGTGTGAGGGGCGAGACCCTCCTCCAGGGACGGAACTGTGATCTCCATGTCCCCAGGAGCTGCCCTGAAGCCATCGGGTTGGCATGCGGATAGATGCTTGTCCCGAGGATTGAGACCCTGGGTCCCAACCTGAACCTGTCCCTAGACAGGGCAACCTCAGCTAGGAGCCTCGCCCCCACGCAAGTCCTCAAGGCTGCCCAGGGGCTCCCTGAGGTGCACAAATGGGACCCACCCCTACCCCGGAGAATATTATTTATTTTTGGCAATAGTGGGGACTGAACCCGGAACTCTTGCACTGAGTTACATGCCCAGCTCCCTCCTTCTCTTTTTAAAAATTTCAAGACAGGGTCTCACTAAGTCAGTAAAGTGTCCAGGCTGGGCTACAACTTACAATCCTCCTGCCTCAGCCTCCCAGAGTGCTGGGATTACAAAAAAGCATGTGCCAATAGGCCCGGCTGCAATTTATTTTCAGTATCACAGCACGAAAGATGAGCCCTGAAAGTCACAGATTCAGACTGCGGCTGAGGAAACTCAAGGAGGGACAGTCCTTCAGGGGACTCTCCTCAAGGCGGGCACCTGCTCCCTCAACAGGGGACGGGCTCAGGACCTCAGCCTCAAAAATCCCACCTGGGTGTTATTTCCTAAGCAACTTTCAAAGAACACTGCCCCCTCCCACTCTGGCATAAATTCCAAAACTTTTTTTTTTTTTGGTACCGGGGATCGAACTTGGGTCCTTGCACTTGCGAGGCAGGTGGCGGAACCAGTGAGCTAAATCCCCAGCTGAATTCCAAAACTTACGAAGTTCCAGGAACTCAGAGGCGACGGGCACCGAGGTGTCCTGGGCCTGGGTTCTCGCCGGGCATCTCCTGACGCCGACGCCGATCCCAGGCATCGCTCGGCGCTCGTTCCCTGCTCCCGGTTTCCCATCGACTTCCTGGCCCTCCGCCCCCCCCCCCCCAACAGAGACAGCAAGGCCCTCACCTGTCAACCGTCAGGTCCTTATCCTTCTTCCCCCTTTTCCCTTTCTTGGCTTTCTTCCCTTTCTTCAGCGGAAAGAAAATGGAAAAAAATAACAATTTAGTAAAAACAAGCGAACGAACCACCCCTAAAGCGAGCTGAGCAGACTGTCTGTGGGGGTGGGGTGGGAGCGTGAACCGGGTCACCCGAACTTGGGCTGCGGTGCTTTTACAGCCGTAGCTCTTGGAGACAGAGGGAGTCTCCGTGGGGGAACCCGCCTGGGCCAGATTCCCTACAGGCCCTGGGCATTCTGCCCCCTCTCCTGGGCTCTGGCACAAGCGGAGAACTGAGCTGTGCTCGGCTCTGACACTGCCATGGCCATGAACTGTGAGCTCCACAATTCACATGTTCACGCCTGACCCCGAGGTGACGGCGTGCAGAGGTGGGGTTTGGGGGTGGTGAGGTCACAAGGGCTTTGACGGCATGAATGGGATTCGTGTGCTTCCAAAGAGGACAGGAAAACCTTGCTCAGCCTTCCTCCACTGAAAGACAGCGGGAAAGGGGACCATCCTTGAAGCAGAGGGATCCCTCCCCAGACACGGAACCGCTCAGCCCTTGCTCTGGGGCTTCCCAGCTCTGGACCGTGAGCAGCAACTTTCTGTTCTTTATAAACTACGCTGTCTAAGATATTTTGCTACAGCAGCACAAAAGGACTATGGCAGTGCCCAGCTACTTCTCTCTGTTAGCACCTGGCCCGGAATCAGGCAGCCTCGGGGCTAGGCAACTGTGCCCCTCCAGTTCTCAAAGGGCACTTGTGAGAGCCAGAGGGGTGTGTCCCAACTGCCATCTTTTATAATTCTATTAAAATATCCATCAATAGCTCCCTGGGACCCACAGGAAGAGGTTAAAATTCTGCCGCATTCAATTTTCACAGCCTGGTTTCTAATCTACTTTATCTACATCCTCTTCTATCCCAGGGTCAAGGGTGGCTGCTTGGCCCTGATTCTGGTCTGAGAAAGTTGATCTTACATGCAGAATAGAAGCCAGGGCAACATAAACGTGAAGAAATCACTGTAGGGATCAGGAAATGCCCATGGGTTCAATGGCTCGGTCCTATGATATTTGGATGTTTATTCTTTTTAATAAAAACCTGTTTAGCAGTGTGGCTACACCATGTTGCATTCCCACCAATACCATGTGAGGGATCCAGCCTCTTGCATCCTTTATTTTACTTTTATTTATAATTGGGTTTCTCATATGAGGGAAACCATGCAATATTTAACCTTTTGTGTCTGACTTATTTCATTTAACATTATTTATAGATTTATCCATTTTTCTACAATTGAGTCAGATTTATCCTTCTTTATGACTAAATAAAATTCCACTGTGAATACATACTACATTTTCTTTATTCATCTATCCATCGATGAGCATCTAAGCTATTTCTAGAGATTAGAACTGCTGTGAACACTGGTATCACATATCACTGGAGTACGACTTTAACTCTGGGGGAACACACCAAGAGAGGTACAGGTGAGTAAGTGGAATTTCTAATTTCAGTTTTTTGAGGACTCTTCATACTGATTCCATAGTGATTGTACTAATTTACATTCCCACCAACAATGTAGAGGTTTCCTTTGCCCACAATCTCACCAGCATTTAAAAGTTTTGATGACGGATATGTTCTGGATACTAGCTCTTTGTCAGATATGAAGTTTGCCAGTACTTCCTCCCAGTCTGTAGCCTGTTTTTTATTTCTCAGCAGGTCTTTCACAGGGCAAAAGTTTGTAATTTTGATGAAGTCCAATATTTTCTTTTATAAATTATGTCTCTAGTATTAATTCTAAGAGCTCCTTGTTGAGCCTTAGGTTGCAAACATTTTAAATATATTTTTATGAAGAAATTTATAGTTTTACATTGTATATTTAAATCTGTGGCCTATTTTGAATTAATTTTTGCATACTGTGTGAGACTTTGGTCAATGTCCCTTTATTTTTCTTGTGGTTGTTCAATTACACCAACCTCATGTATTCAAAAAGGTATCTCCTTTCCTGAAATTGCTTTTGCATCTTTACTAAAAATCAATCAGGCGTATTTGTGCAGGCTTATATCTAAGTTCTCTGTCATATTTCATTTCTTTTTTCCTCCCTCCCTAAACCAATAGCATAGTCTTGATTACTGTGGCTATGTTGAGATAAATTTCTTCTATGCCTAATTTGTTGAATTTTTATTGTGAAATAATGGTGAATTTTGTCAAATACTTTTCAGCATCTATTGAAATGGCATAGAATATCAGCACAATCCATCATAGCAATATGATTGGCATATGTTGAACCATCCTTGCATTCCAGATCATGACATATAACTTTTTTTGTTCTGTCAAATTCAGTTTGGCAACCTTTTGTTGAGGATATTTGCAACCATATTCATTAGGGATATTGGTAAATAGTTTTCTTTTACAGTAGTATTTTTATCTGACTATTTTCAGAGTGCTGCTGGACTCTCTTTTTCTGTTTTGGAAGAAGCTGAGAAAGATTGTGTTAATTTTTCTTTATATGTTTTGTAGAATTCACCTTGTGATAAAATACAAGGAAGGCATAGCCCATGTTTATGCAGAGAAATGAGACCCACTCTGGAGGTCCCAGAAGGCCCCGCTGGGGAAGGAGGCCTGGGCTGAGTCCAGTGAGATGAATGAGAGTTAACTAGGCCTGAGTTTGGAGACAGGAGAGTAGAGTAGGGAGAGAACTGCATGGGCAAAGGTCCTGGGGTAGGCGGGGCCACAGTGCCTCTGAGAGACAGTGAGGCAGGTCAGTGGATGAGTTGCAGGAGAGGGCAGCAGTCAGTTGGGAATGATCCCTGCAGGCCCAGCTGAAGACTGTAGTCTTGATTCTCAGGGGACTGGGGTTCAGGGCAGAGCTGGCATGGGGAGTGGGAAGATCAGATCAGTGTTTGGGAAAGACCTCTCTGGGTCGGGGGTAAGCTCTGGTCTAGTCCTCTTCTTTGGATGGTGCTGCCAAATTCTGTCCCTTGGACTCCCTTTGCTCCCTCTCTCCTGCATTTGTTCCCCTGTGACTAGTGGTCTTTCTCCAGAGGGGACTTGGTGTAGTCAGTGAGTTTTAGCCTGTGCGGTTCCACCCCACTCCCGTCATGTCTTGCAGGTTCACCCTCAGGGGATGGGATGGAGACCTGGGTGCACAAACTCTCAGTGATGCCTTTAGCAGCGATTCCTCAGAGTGCCCTGGTGCCCACTCTGGCAGAGAGTGACTGCATGAGGGCGAGGAAGCCTGCTCTGACCCGGGCAAGGCTCACGCTGGGTTTGTGGGGGAAGAAAAGCTGGTTTTCAGCCAGAGGGGCACAGCTACTTCTTGTTTTCATTTCCCATTTTGTGCAGCCCAGTTTTCATGCTCGGTCACTAAGACATAGCTTTTTTGGAGAAAAAGATCCATGTATGGAGCCCATGGTGGCATCAACAGATGCCCTGGAAAAGGGTCAGAACATCGGGAGAGGGACATCAGTGACACATGTTAGAACAGGGCCTCTGGGAGCTCAGTTGACTTCAGAATTCAACCCTAAAATCTGTACACGATGGATGAGGATGGTCACCTAAGGCTATGTGGCCCTGAGCTGGCAAAACCAGTCACGGGTGCAGCTGAACACGTGAAGAACTGTAAGAGGTGACATGTGGGTCCTAGGAGGAATGTCCTGGTTGTGGGACCTGGACGAAGCCCTGCAGAAGCACAGGAAGCCCAAACACAAGCCAGTGCCAGCAGGGAGAGGGGCTGGGCTTTCTCCTCTGAGCATCCCAGCCCTGATGACAGTGCTGTCCCTGGGATGAAGGTGGAATGGGAGACTGAAGAAAGGGATCTGAACACCGGATGCAGCTGGCTGACCCCCACACTGCTGTGACATGGGCTGGGACCCACAGAACTTGATTCAGCTGGCTCCTTTTGCTGCGACCCCACTCAAACCTGCTCACTGCTGTTGGCCTCCCCTGCAGAGCGACCCACAGGAGAGACAAGGGACATTCGGGGCACGTGCTCCAGCTGCCCCGTGGGGCTTGGGTGACAGAACCTACAGCTGTGTGGGGCGGGGGCGGCCAGCTGAGGGGAGTGGGGCTCATCCCACTACAAGCCCACAGCCCTGCAGGCCGAGTGGTGGACCAACAAAGGCGCAAGGGAAGCCATGCTTTCCTGTGAGGCGTCCTGAGGACAGCCAGGCGGGCTTGCAGGTGGCCCTCGTGGACCCACTCTGCCTGGCCAGGGGCTCCTTTCCGTTACTGGGACCCCGCCCCCATTCACGCCTTACCTTCTTCCCTCTCTTCCTGCCTTCTTTGACCGGAAGTTCCTTTTCTTTGTTCACAGCTAGTTTTAAGTTTTTTAGTTCCTGTCTCATTAACTCATCAACCTAGGTGGGTACAAAACATAGGACTTTTAAGTGACTTTTCTTTTCTTGGGTTTTCTTGGAGAAATTTGCAAATCATTTTAAATCCTGGGGTAGGTCATCAGTAGGAAACTGTGAAAAAGCACAATCACTGGTGTAAACAACTTCTTCATTTTGAGACAGGGTCTCGCTATGTAGTTCAGGCTCGCCTTGAACTCACTACGTAGCTCAGGCTGGCCTTGAACTTGTAACAATTTTCCTGCTTCAGCCTCCTGAGTGCTAGGATTACAGGTGTGCACTACAGTAACAACTTATTCCTACCACAGGATAAAGGTAGCTATACCTGCACTCTTATCTCTGAATCTAATTCTTTCCGCATCTCCTGTCTGATCAGTTCCGGATCATAATCCTGAAGGAAATTCCAAGATTCATCTTTATTCATCCACATGTCTGTATTCCAGAAGGAAAAAGAACACAGAAAATAATCAAACATACAGGTTCATGAAAGCGGTTACTGTGACACAAGCATAAGTTTAATCTTCTTATCCTGTTGCATAGAATAAAAGTTTGAGTACAGTAAGCTGGAGAGTGAGGGGATTCACAGATATGCCTGTACAACACCTTGTAAAAAAGAAGAAACTGTCAATGTGAAAACATTAGGTAAAAAGGTCCGATGCAATCAGTATCCTATTATACAACTATAACCACGGGAAAGCAGTATGTTAATGGCGGGATTATATACAATTATGTCTCTGTTTTATACTATATTTATTACTTTTATTATTCATATGACCCACTGAGAGGTGAGAGATTCTGTTAGCTGTTGAATGTCAGCAACTCACACAACAGGCAACACTAAATACACAGAAATCTGGGACTGTCCCCAGTTCAACAGCTGGTTTTTTTTTTTTTTTTTTTGGTTCTAGGAATCAAACTCAGGACCTCGTGCTTGCTGGGCAGGCGCCGTGCCGCTGAGCTACAACCCCGGCCCAACAGCTCTGATTTTGAATTTCTGTTGGGATGTTTTTGAAGTCACATGTGTTTTAAGTTTCTCTTTTGTCTTATTCTGGTGGTTAGAGGGTTGGACCTAGAGAAACGTGACCTGAGAAGAGATAAGGGTAAGTTTGTATCATTTCAGTTAAGTTGGAATAGAGCTCGTCTGTCAGAGGGGGACACAAATGCATGCAGAAGCGTGGGCAGCGGGGTCTGAGGTGCGGGACTCGCAGGGTCTCCAGCCAGAAGAGGCTCCTAGGCACTCTGGGAAGTGAGACCTCTGCCTGGAGTCTATGTCATGTGATCAGAATACGGTCGATGTTTAAATTTTTAGAAATCGTAGTAAAAGGCGCATTGCCATTATCTCCCCACCCTAGTTTTCTCTCTCCCTTCAAGCACTCCGTTCCCACCATTCTGGCCACTGTCTGCAGCAGCTCTGGAGCCCTCTTTCCTGAGTGTCTGTATGAGGTGTGATCAAAAATAGGTAAATGCTGCAGCCGAGTGCCCTCCTGTGGAAAGACATCTTGTGAAACACTGTGGTGTCTTCACCCACTTTATTCACGCGATCTGGCACTCTGACTTCTGGCTCTTCCCCACAGCACAATGGCCATGAAAGGTCACTGAATGGATTCAGGACATCAAGCCAGCCACGACAATGCAACTAAAGACATTTGGGGAAGAGGACTTCAGAGCTGCTGCAGAATATGATAAGAGTGATGGGATGAGTGTGTCTGAAGCCAGGGGAGGATTGTGAGGGAGATCAGTGGCAATGTGTCTTGCTGCAGTAAAAATGTAAGCATTCACTGTATTTTCTTTATTGTACCACATAGCTCCTTCAGTCCCATCTCACTCTAGTGGCTTGGGGGCGGAGATGTTTTCACTCCTCTCAAGGAGACAGGCTCAGCAAGGCTGTTGCCCACTACCAGCTACTCAGAGCTCTCAGCTCTTGCACCAGACTGACTGCCTGGGGGCACTCAGGTGGCTGTGGTTGATCTTTGTGCCCACTGGCCAGGGCTGGGATGGGTGTCAGAATCTTAGGGCCATTTCTTCGGTCTCTTCAGGGAACTTAGCTTTCCTGGGCCGTCAGCGCCCCAACTGCCCCTGCCACAGAAACAAGGGAGCTGGGCAGGCGGGGCTTTGGGCGTTGAAGGTTGACCAAGGACTCTGCCACCCAGAGAGGCAGAGGAGCCTCTGGGGACCTGAGGGTTGGGAGAGGCATCTTCTGAGAACCATGATGCAGAAAGGACCCACACTTCTCCTAGAAAGGTCGCCGTGGACTTAGAAGAAGTAAGCAAGAACGCAATCACAAAGGTGGTAAATTTGTCATCAAAGCAATTCACCAATGTGTCCTTCCCCAGACAGGGTGGCCACGTGAGCCAGGGGCCAGAGCACAGGAGGCACTGAAGTCCAGAGGGCGTCACACCCTGTGGGGCAGGGAGCAGGACCCAGAGGACCGGGAGCCCCTCACAGCAGACAGGTAGGGTGGACGAGCAGGGAGCACCTGGGTCCAGGAAACACACACTGCACAAGCTGTCTTCAGTATCCCACTCATGCAAAAAACACACAACCCCAGCGTCATTTCAAAGCGTACTCCTTGCCCAGAACCCCGCAGAAGGTGGCGTAGCTTGTGGATTTGTGAGCAGCAAAAATGCAGCCAAGGTCTGCTGCTTTCATTTGAAGGTAATCATTTTTTTGGAACATGTTTTCTGAAATCCATGTAAGCTTAAACTGTGGATCACTTTAAAATGCAGGAATAACAGGTACTTCTTTTTATGTGTTCACAATGGTACTCTTTCCCCTTGCAAATAGTAGAAAAAGCTTTGGTGTGTCGTAAGGTGTTGTTTACCAACAATACCTCTTTCAAACAGATTCTCCCCTTGCAGGACTACAGCAAAGCCTACCTCTTAGTTACACAAAGGCACTTTAAACCAAAGAGCTCTGTTAGGTACAGGGGGCTACTTTTCTCTTTGACTGCAAAATTTTCCCTCAAATGGGGAACAACTTATTCTGTAATAAAAGGAGTGCAGACTCCTTAACAGGAAGGAAACCATGAGATGATTATTTATGGAAAAACAGTCCCAAGTAGCACACTCCCAAGCTGGAGCTGCAGATTCCTTGCAAAATAAAGCAACACAAGCAGCTTTTCTCCGGCTTCTCCTCTAGAGGTTTCAGCAGATTGAGTTCTCTGAGGAAACTTTGCTTTTCTCATGACACTTTCGCACAGGGCACTTTTCAATCCCTTTAAGAATTTCATGGGCATTTATAAATGCAGGAAGCTGTTCCCGATCCTCAAAGGGCAGCAAGTGCCCCGCTCCCTCCTGGAGCCAGAATGAGCTTTTATCCCAAGAATGTGAAAAGTAGGCCAGCCAGTTCACACATAGGGGAGGTGGCTGGGGAGGGGCTGGGGGGTTAATCAGAGTGATTAAAATGCTAATGTCTTATTTGAAAACGAAAACCTTTGATTTGAAAGAAAGGAACTCTAAAATGAAGAGATCTGGCTCCTGTAAGGTAAGGAAGACCTGGCAGATACCACCTCCAGTGTCACCGCACTCTGCACTCCACCAGGGAAGCCACGCTTCATGCTTCCTTTCTCAGCCTTTGGGGACAGGATGTTCCACAAAAGGTGGATGGTTTCCAGAATCTTCCTTGGAGGGTTGGCAGATTGCATGAGTTGGCTTCCCACTGGGAACGTCCGATTTTTCTCAAAAATTTCCCCCAAATTTTTACTTTTTGTCAAAACAAGGCATGCATATTGTGTGCAACAAATCCAGAGTGCTAAAAGGATAATAAATAAGCCCCCCTCTCACCCTGCTGGATGGCATTGGTTCTCACTTCCATGCACTCACCTCAGAAGACAGGGAACAGTGAGCTGTTGAATCCTGACTTTCTGGAGCCCTGAGGAGGTCCAGCCCTTGGAGGGCACTCGGGACTGTAGGAGGTCACAGAGAACAGTGGCCTCCACCCAAATCCAGCCGTATGAACACAACTGGCAGCTGGCTGGGGAGGTGCAGGCCTGCAGGGACTAGCATCCTGAGCAAGAGTACAGACCCGGTATGCTGGTCTGGCTTTGCTGAGCTCCCTCAGCTGGTGCTTGGCTCTTCTCCCCTGTGCACCACAGGCTCCTGTGGCCCTTCTTGATGTATTCACTTCAGACACAGCCCCTGGCATCCGATGATGGGAGAGGAGGCTTTTGCTGACACTTAGTGTCAGTTGACCCCTGTGACCTCCTGCCTCCCCGGGAACAGCAGATGCCAAACCCTGCCCATGTCACAGTTCCCTCTGGGCTAAGCCTCGGCTCAGCATCTCCTGCCCCGTGGTGTCCTCCCTGCCACCAGTAGTCTATAAGAGAGCTTAGGGTGCCACATGGACATTTTTCTTGTTTATAATTAGCACATCAAATCTACAACTGTACTGATATTGCTCAGGATGGAGACTCGATGTATTGGGGTAAAAGCTGAGTCCACTTAAGTTCAGTAACAGTACCAGTGCTGTCCAGAAAAGACCAGAACGGGAAGGAGGGACATGATGGGCTGATGTTGGGAATCTGCTCTTTCATGTCCTCACTGCAATTTCCAGGAATCTCTATAGTAGTGTGAATGACCGGGGGCGTGTGGACCGATCATTCTGTGTTGGGATTTGTCTTGAGAGTGGAGTGGAAGTAGAGGAACTGGAGAATAGTTCCAGCAAATTATAATGGAACTGTCTGAATTCATACACTTGTAGTTCTGGCCAGGTCATGGTCATGGTGACCATGCTCAACACCTGATGACAGAGCTGTGCGTCTTAGTCTAACAGGGTTAGGACATTTTACTGTGCAGATGGTATTGACTTTCGTTGTGTAAACAGTCTAGGAAATACTTCCCTTCCTTGCCACTCAGCAAGCAAATGGTCAGCTGAAGTCTCAGGCGTTCAAAACACAGGATAGAAATTTCCAATATGTTCTCATCCTGTGTGTGTCTTGCTCTTTTACCAATTATATGTTAAACCACCAAAAGGAGTCAGCGACACAGAGTTAGCTCTGAGGTGAGCACCCATGCCCTCTCTCGACCAGGAACCCAAGTCCTCCTGATACTTGGGCATCAGGGCCAGCGCATTAGGCTCGGTGGACAGAGGGATGGCTTGGTCACTCCGAGTACTCTCCTGGACTGACCTTTGTATAAGCTGTTTCCTTCCTGGAGTGACTGAAGGAAAACACTTGGTGACATTTTCCACTCTTCATCTTCTTCCTGTCAGAGGAGAACAATGCTCCTGTTAATTACAGGCACAGTTTATCTGCCAAGGCCAGACAACAGAATATACACACACACTGTAGTTGCCGGGACTGTGGCTGGTGTCACGAAGGTCCCTCCCTGTCCTCCCTGGGGCAGCAGGGCGTGACAGTCAGGCTCCCTGAGATGGCCCTGCCTATGCTGCTCTCTGCCCTCAGTGCCCTCCACAGCTCAGGTTTGGTCCTGTCTTGTCTGGCTCTTTCCTTGTCTGAAGAGACTGAGTTCCCAGCCTGAATCCTGTCTGTCCTGTCACCCTGCTTGGAGCTGCTCTCCATCCTGCTGTGTCACTTGCCAATTCCAGGCTTCTCCGTGCTCTGCAGTGTCCCCTCCCCTTGCTCACCTGTCCCCTCACTGAACTCAGAAGCCAGTTCTGAATCACAGCCTGGTGTTGGTGGCCGGGCTCCCATGTGGAGCTCTGGGCCACAGTGCAGTGAGCCCGGTCACACGGGTGTGCACAGGGATTTTCAGATGGCGTCCCACACGTGCCTACACAGGGGGAGCTCCGCTCAGAGCCCCAGGCAAACGCCTTCCATCTCCACCCTCCGTGTCTCTCTGCTCCCTGCTGTGAGACTCCCTAGAGGAACAGGGAAAAGGGCCCCCCCCACGCCAGGCGATGTGGACGACTTCGTCTAGATGGAGGTGATGCTTGTGCAACCGCGTGGACACACCAGTGCCACGGAACTGTTCACTTTAGAATGGCTCATTTTGTGTTATGTGAAATTCATCTCAATCAAAAATTATCACAGGGCTGGGGGTAAGCTCAGTGGCTGAGTGCCTGGAAGCACTGCCAAAAAAAAAAACCAAACTCACACGATCATCCTGAGGATTGCTCACGCACGGCCCGATTCTCAGCCTTGGTATCTGGAATGGAGTCTTGTAGTCGTTTGAGATCCATCCAGTTTGAGAGTCAATCATTTTCCCACAAAGTCTCCCTATTCTTGTTTCTTCAGCACTGGGAATTGGACTCAGGGCCTTGGTACTGAGCTACATTTCCATCTCTTAGAAATGTTTAAAACAGTTTTGAGGCAGGGTCTTGTGCAGTGGCTAAGGCGCCCAGGCTGGGCTCAGGCCTGCGTCCTCCTGCATCAGCCTCACCTCCACTGTTCTGCACCATTTCACAGCCTCTCTGCCGACTCACGCCTGTGCTCGTATTCTCCCCAGAGTGAAGCTCGCTGCTGAGCTGGCGACAGCTTCCTAACACACTCAGGACTAAGAAGAGGCTCCCGAGGCACCATCTGCTGGTGCATGGCAGTGCCAGCAGCCCTGGGGTGGCTGGTACTCAGCCCGGGCTGGGATTGTCCACCACACAGCCTGGCAGCTGGAAAGGCCACCACAGGGACACTGGGGGCAGGAGTCCTTGGGCTCCACCCACATGTCCAGTTCAGGGCTGCCCACACTCACTGTCTTGGGCAACGCTGCCTCCTATATGAGCTAATCCGCTGTGGTGCCACTGGCTACCAGCTACTTCAGACCAGGAGCAGCTCTGGTCAAGTCACAGTGAGGCTCAGGCACCTCCAGGGCTCCCTGGGCCCCTGTAATCCAGTGCTTCCCATGGCATGGTCAGTGACCAGCTGGCCTCCAGGGCTGCGCCTGCCCTGTACCCCAATGTCCATCTGTGCTCAGCTGCCCAGACCCTGTCAAACTCTGCTCTCGGAGGGCCTCTGAGCTCCAAGACTCCTCCAACAAGGGTTTGCCAGGCTGGAAGTGTCCAGATGTCCCTGCCCTCTTGAGGTTTCCAGAGAAGAAGGCGGATGTGTGAAACCAGAGGGCCCAGGCTATTTGCGCTCCTGGGGCTTATGGGGTCTATGAGACCTGTCGGGTGGGGGGAACCCACCCCAAGACACCATGGCTAAGGCAGCTCCCTGGTGAAGCGCCTCCCCAGCCTCCAGGACACAGGCTCAGCGGCCGTCCCGCTCTTGCTATGAGACCCAGTTGTGTGAGAAAACCCTGCAGGAAAAGCATGGAAAACACCAGCAGTAGAAAAGTCACTTCCTGGAGGAGGCAGGTAATTCATGGACAGAAGAGAAATTCAGATTGACCCTATCAGTCTCCTCCGAGACAGTATTTCTCCTCTCCTTTCTCATTTCCCTCCCTCCTCCTCTTTGTTTTGCACCTCTCTGGTCTCACTACGGACTCAGCAGACTTTACTGCTTTTTAGCCAATGTGCTGTCATCATTGTTGGCATTTTTGTTTTGGGTACTTAGATTGTCTCAGACTGGCCACTGGGGCCCTGCAGGTGGGGATGATGCTTCCATGCATGGATGAAGAAGAGGAAGAGTGAGATGGCCCAGACAGAGTGACAGTGAGGAGGCAGGGAGAGCGGGTGGGTCTGGGAGACCCGGGGCCATGTTGGAGAGAGCGGGGCCTTGGGGACTGCGATGGCTGGGTTGGGAGCAGGTGGGGCGAGGCCTTCCCCGTCTGTGTGCCTTTCTTCACCACTCTTGGGCTGTGGGACCCTGGTCCCCCCAGGACCCCATCTGGTCCACCATCCTGGCTCCATGCAGAGCCAGCACCCACTCATGTGTGACAGGCACTTCAGCACGTCCGTAAACATTCCCCTCAGAGCTCTGCTTGTACAACTTCATTTATATAATACATGTCAGCTTCTCAAGGGGGAAAAACACTGTTGGGCCAGTTTTGGAAACAACTCATTCTGATAGTTTAGAATGGCAAATGCTAGACATTCCCATGACTTAATAGGGTACAGATTTCCAGGCAATAATGATGTAAGTGCTAGTGACACTAGACTCTGTTTTTTAAAAAGTATGTTTACATTAGTGCCTATTAATTTTACAAAATATTGGGTTTCAGTGCATATATTTCCATATATCCATCTGGCTTATACCCCTCTCTTCCCTCTCGTTCTGTTCCTTTTGTCTAATAAGAGTCTCCCTTCTACATTCATGTTATCTTTTTAAGATTCCATGTATTAGGGGGGACACAGGGTGCTTGTCTTTCTGGCCCTGGCTTATTTCACTCAACACGATGTCACCACCTCCATCCATCTTCCTGAAAGTGACATGATTTCATTCTCCTTTACAGCTGAATGACAATCCCTGGATAGAGACACTTTTTACTGAGAGGAGAAAGGGCCACGGGAAGTTTCCACTTTCTTTTTAAACAATATTTCTGTTTTTCATAGATAGCCTTAATCAAGTTGAGATAAAGACCTTCTATTCCAATTTTATGTAGGGTTTTTATCGTGAATGGGTGTTGATTTTGTCGAATGCCTTTTCTGCATCTATTGAGATGATCATATGCTTTTTGTCCTTGACTCTGTTGATATAGTATATTACGTTTATTGATTTACGAATGTCGAACCATCCTTGCATCCCTGGGATAAATCTGACTTGGTCAGGGTGTATGATCTTCTTGATGATCCTTTGTATTCTATTTGCCAGTAACTTGTTGAGGATTTTTGCATCTATGTTTGTTAGGGAGATTGGCCTGTAGCTCTCTTTTTGGGTTGGGACTTTCCCTGGTTTTGGAATCAAAGTAACACTTGCTTCCAGGAATGAATTTGGAAGCCTTGCTTCCCTTTCAATTTCCTTGATGAGTTTAAAGAATAATGGCGATAGTTCTTCTTTAAATGTCTTGTAGAATTCAGCAGTGAAGCCATCAGGACCTGGGCTTTTCTTTGTTGGTAAATTTTTTATTACATTTTCAGTTTCACTCATTGTAATTGGGGTGTTTAGAATTTCTATATCTTCTTCATTTAACTTTGGCAATTCATATGTATCTAGGAATCTGTCCATTTCTTCTGTGCTTTCCATTTTATTAGAGTACAGATTCTCCAAGTAGATATTGAAGATCCTCTGGTTTTCTGCTGGGTCTGTTGTGACTTCACCTTTTTTGTTCTTAATTCCATGGATTTGAGCCTTTTCTTTCCTTTTTTTTGATAAGGTTGGCTAAAGGTTTATTGATTTTATTTATTCGTTTGAAAAACTCTTTGATTCATTGATTTTTTGGTATCATTCTCTTAGTCTCCATTGCATTGATTTCTGCTCTGATCTTTATAATTTCCTCTCTTGTACAAGCTTTGGGTTTGTTATGCTCTTCTTTTTGTAGGAGCTTGAGGTTCTGCATTAGGTTATTTGAGTTTTCTTTGTTTTCCTAATATAAGCATTCACTGCTATGCATTTCCCGCTTAGAACTGCTTTCATTGTGTCCCCTAGATTCCTGTATGTTGTATTGGCATTAACATTTACTTGTAGAAACTGTCTAATTTCTTCTTTAATTTCCTCTGTGACCCACTGGTTTTTCAGGAGGGTGTTATTTAATTTTCATGTGTTTGTGGGAGTTTTGTGGTTTCTTATGTCATTGATCTCCAATTTTATTGTACTATGGTCTGATAATATACAGGGAGTAACTTCAGTTCTTTTACATTTACTTAGACATGTCTTATGAGCTAGCATGTGGTGTATTTTGGAGAATGACCTGTGTGCAGCCGAAAAGAATGTGTATTCTGATTTTGTGGGGTGGAACGCTCTGTAAACATCTACTAAGTCCATTTGTTCAATACTTTGGTTCAGTTCTAGAATTTCATTAATTTTTTGTCTAGATGATCTGTCTATTTGTGATAGTGGGGTATTGAGGTCCTCCACTACAATTGTATTAATGCTTATTTGGTTTTTCATGTCCATTAATATTTGTTTTGTATAGTTGGGGTCATTTGTATTTGGGGCATATATATTTATGATTGTCATCTCTTCCTCTTGGATTGTTCTCTTCACAAGGATGTAGTGACCATCTTTATCTCTCTTAATTAGTTTTGGTTTGAAATCTACTTTGTCTGCAAATAATATTGCTACCCCTGCCTTTTTCTGGGTTCCTGTGACATGGAGAATTGTTTTCCATCGTTTTACTTTCAGTCTATAAATTTCTCTTTGAGTTAGGTGTGTTTCTTGTATACAGCATATTGTTGGATTTTGCTTCTTAATCCATTCTGCCAGTCTATT